GAGGAAGCTGCAGTGGAAAGTCGTGACCAGTTAAGACTGCCATGTCACGGTGAAGTGGATGCTACTTTGAGTCGATCAACAATCACTGTATCCTGCCGTCCCGATGGGTTAGTGACGAAAACTCCCTCCTGCTTCTTTCTTCCGATGACTTTGAGTGATCAAATGTAGGGAGCTTTTAAGAGTTTACGAACAGCGTCACAACACACAGAAACGTGTGGATGCAGACTTGAAGCCTAGAATCTGGTTTCACTTTCTTGCTCTGTGCACGATTCGGAGTTAATTGGAGTTGACACGTAAGACGTGTTAGATACTGAGCATAACTATGAAAATCAGAAAAGGTTGGTTCACCGCCTTCTGGAGAAACGAGTTCGTCAAGTAAACGGAGTGTGATTATATGTATCACTTCGGCTGAGGTGCACTGTATACCTACTTTGAGAGTCAAACGGATACTCAGAGGGAATGGAGGAAGGAAATATGCTTATTTCGGCGTTATCAACGGTTATTAAATAGGCTTTAATTTGTTGATGAAAACGCTCTACCAATCCATTGGATTATGGGTTCGAATGCGTTTGCATTCCAAGGGTTCCAAAAGCTTCTCAACGGTTACAGATTCCAACTGTTACTCACTGTCAGTTGTCACTGTATAAGGGCATCCAAAATATGCAGCCCACCTTCCATTGAACACTCGGCGGACTGTTCCAGCTGTTGTGTCCGTAGATGGGATAACTTCTGGAAAACAAGTAAATCTGTCTACACATATAGGTAGGGGTGTGGTGAAAGCTGTCTACTGGCCAAATTGGTAGACAGTAATTTACGTCAATATTTACGTTCTCAAGATTTGTCGTGAGAAAATATGAACAAAGACTGATTCAAAACTGACCACAGTAGACTTTGCGTAGGCGGATACAGTTAACATATAGATGATCTGACATTCAAGAAACAGTCACAAAGAGATGAAAGATTAACTTTAAGTGAGAAACAACCAATCAGAAGACTGTGTTTGTTTACTTAAATATCCATAGTAATGTACATGAAAATATATATGAATATGCGTTGACTTCCTTAATAAACGATCTGTTGCCTGGTCCTTGCCTTCTGTTGTTACAGGAGTAGCCATTAGGAGGTATTGGACTGACAATGTCTATATGGATATGGCTAAAACGGGCATCAGGCGTGGTGAATGATCTAAATGGAGTAACGTTGTGCTTATGAACTTTGGTGCAGGTGCGCACCCAGTTACGCACAGCACAGTTAACGCCAAGCGAAACAAATCTGGTTGATGTGATTTTATCTGTAGCATGTATTCCGGGTTTTGGGAGGCTATATAGGCATCCAAACACTGTGAGGTGTAACAACAGGTCTTGGGATGCCTGTGAGCATGTCATAAAGTAGGTATGCGTGCTATACGCAGGGACACATGCTCCATATTTAGAGAAGCATTGTGTCAGAGTTTACCTCTGCCCACATCAGATGGCCGAAGTTCTGTTATTTTTTTCTAGTCAGTTGGTGGTGGGACTATCATAGTGTGCATACTTGAGACAATGAGTCTGCCACAGAGTTATTTGCACCGGATGCATGTTGGATGTCCGACGTCAACTGTGAAGGGAAATCCAGGTGAAGTAATTCGCGCAGAGAGTATCTATCTGTAGTGGTATTTGGGGCATTTGTCAGAAGTTTGTGGTCAGTAGAAACAGTAGAATGACGTCGTTCAACAGAGTGGCGGAAGCGTTTCATGGAGGCATAAATGGCGGGTAGTTCGCGATCAAAAGTACTATTTCCATGGGTTATCCATGAGTTGTCGTAAGACATAATCTATGACCGTGTTAGATACACCAACTGAAACATCCAGATGCACTAGCATAGGGGCGTCTGAAATAGCCACCTTAATTTTCCTAAATGCTTCAAGCGCTTCAGAAGTAAACGTGAGTGTTTTACACTAACCTTTTAGAAGACTAGTCAGTGCCATCAAAATATGCGCTCATTGGGGAAGGAAACGGCGGTAGTAACTTACCATGTAGAGCAATGTGCGCAATGACTTCAGGGATGTTAGCTCTGGGAAGTTTTGAATCGCTTGCACCTTTTTAGACAAAGGATGAATGCCATGTTTATCGATAACATGTCCTAAGATAGTAAATGATTGGACACGAATCTGACATTCCTCCAGAATGACTGTTACCGAGTGTTTTGAGAGTTGGCGGAAAACTTGTTTTAGATGGCCACAGTCAGTCCACCTACCTGGGCTGGTTATCAGAATGTCGTCAAGGTAGGCATAATCAAACTCTAGACTACACAAGACATTATGAATGAGACTGTGAAGTGTCTATGATGCGTTGAGTAGACCGAAGGCCAAGGGAAGAAACTCAAAAATACTAAAAGGGGTAGTAACAGGTTTCTTTGGGACATCACGGTGTATGGGGATCTGATGGTTAGCATGCGTCAGATTATGTTTGCTGAATATATCAAACCTGTTAAAGGTGATGTCAAATCGTGTATGTATGGTGCTGGACAACGATTTGAGACTGTCCGTGCACTGAGCCCTCGGTAGTCTCCACAAAACTTCCAGTCGATGCCACTGTTCTCGTGTAACCCATGTAGAGGTGAAGACCACAGGCTGTTGGATGGTCAGATCATCCCCACTTCGAGCATGTGTGCAAACTGAGTCCTAAAGGCCCGTACATTTTCTGAGATAGCCATTGTGGCTTTGGTGAAAACAGGTGGTCCAGTAGTCATGATGTGATAAGTAACGTTGGGAGTCAAACAAGGAACATCACGATTAGGCTTGCGAATGTAGGCAAAAGATGGGATTGTATTAGAGTAGGGACTTGAAGTGTCAGAGGCTGGATAAACAGGGCTGAGAGAGTGTCTGTGAGTCAGAATCCAGAAATGGAGAGTCGTGTGGTGGAATCTGTGAACGCATGCTTGAAAATATCTACCAGTAACTGAAAGTGCTGCAAAAGATGTATGCGGAAAATGCTAGTAGTCACATTGGCCATTACGTGCTAGTTCTCAAATTTCTCGACTTTCTGGTATCAAAGGTGAAGGAACGAGTACATCTTTGTTCACTGGCACTATAACGTCTATGGTACCAAAAATCCAGGTTGTGGGTTTCTTGGGGTAGATCGCCTTTTCCGTAACGCGAGGAACACTCGCTGCGAGTGATATGAGCAGTTTTGGGGAGGACTTATAGCTCTTATTCCCTGCCACAGACTATACAACTCCTGACACATTTGTCTAGTGCCGAAACTGAACGAGTCATTCAATGAATGGAGGTCGTTCTGACATGGACTGGAAATAGGTAAGGTTGTTGGAACGTTTGTGAATATTCTGGCAGCCTTGACGGCTCTATCAGCAGTCTGTGTTAACTCCATCAAAGGTGACTTGAAGGAGGGTGCACTGTCTGCGGCATGGTCTGGAAAGGGGTGTCAAAAATATCTGAGACATCCTGCATGATGTCTTCAGGGATCCTGAGAAATATTCAGTTGGCCTTAGTTTCGTCTGAATGAAAACGCCGCAGTGCGAAATAGGACTCAACATGTGAGAACCATGAAGGTGGTCGATTGAACCAGAATTGGGGGGGAATGCAGCGTAACTGACATCTGCTCAATAGTCATTTTGAGCCATAATTAGATCAGCTATATGATATGAAATATATCATCAGTATGAAGTAGCACGGAAACTGAAGTAATAGTAATGACGACTGCATGGTTATGAGGAAATGAAGGACAATACAACGAATTAGAGAAATTAAAATATGAACAGATTGAACTTAAAATAAGCAATTAATGAGACCCGGGTTCATCAATAATAAGCCTCTGTTGTCGATAATGTTAACGTGGTGAAACACTCTACCAAACATCACCAAACGTAATATGCCTAGTTACCCAATAAATCAGCACTCTACCTAACATATAAGTACCTACGACAAAACGCAAACTAAAAAGACTCCGTTAATTTGTAATAGGCTCTGATGAACAGCATATCAGAATAAATTAAAACGTCAGGATTATTCATTGAGCACATATGTTGAGCCTGTATCATCTCAGAACCCCTCCGAATATAACACATGCTTCTAAGAGTTAAGGATAGCAGCACAATCTTGTTAACTACTCTGGTTTCCTAGCGATTGTGCTCATTAGTGGTCGATCTTTTCTTAACAACATGGAATTGCTCCCCTATCTGGTGTACATGAAATAGCAGACACTAGTCCTGGAAACCGAAACCCGGCCAATACTGATATATCTAGCACAGAGCTGACAGTAGACAACTACGACGTTTACAGGAATAGTGAAACGCCGAAAAAGGAGGCCAGCGACTGAAATCTGCCCCTAAATCCACTGCATCTAATACCCTCTGTTGCTAATTCAACACACCTAGTTAAGTTATGGAAATATTTATAAAAATTTCTGGTAAAGCGCCTGGCGACACTAAGGAGTATGATTTCAAATAGAAATATTATTAATTTATCACCGCTTTCTGAACCAACTAACTTATTGGCAAAGTAAAAGCTATTGGCAGAAAATTGCTATAACATGAACAGACCAAAGCTATAATATGTTAAATTTAGTAAGGCTTTTCATAAGGCGTCTACGTTAGACTGATGGGGAATTTAACGTCTAGTGAGTCTTGGATACTAGTGAAAATCCTTCCGTAGTTGAAACGCTGAACTTATTTACTGACTTACAAATGTTCTGCGAAAATCCATTCCTCATAGATAGCCAAGTGTTAAAGGAGCGAACAACTTCATGGAGATCATTCAAAAGTAGGAAAGTTTCATACACCTGTATCAAGGTTCATCTCTATAAAACTTTCTCTCCACCTAAAATCCCAAAGAGTTGGTCTACCACAGGACCACTAACACTTACAAGGAAAGGACTTATCCTTACCATGCAATACGCTTGTATTCATACATGTAAGAATTTACCTAAAATGAATGAGCGAGACTGTCCTAAGGCCAACAAAAGAGGTTTGAACTTTATTGTTCTAATGCATCAATTGTTTGACAGGTATCCGACCTTGAAGTGGCAAATTGTCCAATATCTGCACGCGATCTCACTATTATTGTGTGCTTGTAGATCTTCTTCAGAAAATAAATTTTGATTTTCCTCTATCAGGTAGCTTACTATTCATATCGTACTCATATTCCGGTAACTATAAGTGTTCACTTTACTAATAACTGATCTGATTAAATCATATTGCCTAGTCGAAATGAATAAGTTTGTCACTGGGTGGGATAAAATTAACCTTCCATTGCCTTGGATTAATGTGTATAATTAATGGGAAACCTTTTTCAGTGAATGTAGAATTAAGTGAAATACTGGGATGTGTGGATAAGCGATACTAAAGAAATATTTTTGTTTGTCAACATATGTTGAATATTCATGGTCTTTTCACCGACTTTTCAGTTTCATTCCCAAAACTTTCGAAGTTGTGATGTGTCGTCTCTCTTGTTCAGGGATTGGGTTGTTGGGTGGAAATTAACACCAGGAATGATTTCAAGTAAACGGAAGCTAAATCCTTCCTCAGCAAATTTAAAGAATAGACACCCAGGTGAACGAACGCATTAATGATATTACTATGCTAAGTCAGAGTAAGGCAGAGAAGCCGGATAAATAACGCTTAATTCGTGGAAAATATTGTCGAAGTAGGTGTTACATTTTTACACAACGTGGCTTGCTTGCCCAAGCTTACTATAATGCTGAATTAAATCACTAATACTGAGATAATTCTAACATTCTATGGTGTGTAAATTCTGAATCTGTTCTGAAATGGATTCTGTAATGGCACAGACTGGAACCCATTGTAAGTTTTCAGCATGACTGGCACTAATTCAGCACCGTGTTCTTTTTCTAGGCATTCTCAGGAGTAGATTAGAACCTACTGGATTTGCTTATCAGCGTTGTTCCAGCCCTCACAGGACATATTAGGCACGGACTTTCGTTACTTCAGAACGGAAAGAGTTGATTCAGTATCCAGCTCTCTTTTTAACCATGGCCAGCATTATTTCAGAACATAGTGGGTAGATAAAATCATTTACCATAAAAAGGCATTATCGAAGAATAGGTTAGAATAAGTTTAGAATTGTTGTAAGCTTGGGTAAGTTTAGTTTAGGGAAAGGTTAGATTTCTGCTAAGATTAGTCTCGAGATATATTAGGGTGTTTTGGGATTTATTTAGCTTAGAGTTATGTTAGAAACCCAGATACGACTATTTTGCTAAATTGATGGTTTCATGGTCGTTAGTGCGTTTCTTCGTCTGATTATCTATTCCTTAACTTCACTCTCTCCTGTTCGTTGTTAGTACGGTCAAGGTGATTTGAAATGCTAACTCTAAATGACATCTGGAATAGTTGTGAACAAAGTAAACTCCTATTTAAGGTTGATTTGAGGAGTTTTGAGACAATATCCGTCATTTCATCTAAATCAAGCACACTTCTACAAACCTGAGTCAGGTATGAATAGGAGTTTCATCTCACTGAACAGGAGATTAACTTGCTTTACCTGTTTTTGCTCTCAATTTCGACGTTATTCACCGTTTCGCGTTTAACTTTAACAACTTCAACTATGGTTAGAAACACGTAGTCTTTTTATATGTACCCTTAGTGAGTTGGACGTAAAATCGCGTGAAAAGTTAACTTTCAAATTATGAATGTTCAGTAATCTTCATTACATTGTTTTTCCCTGTCGCATACATGTTTGCTTAATATAGTGTCTTTTCGATACCGTTTGTTTTGTATGATTTTACTCTGGCAACTCCAACCGACGCACTTCTGTACGTATTTCTACTTTAGTTTTTTTTTGGAGGGGGATAGTGAAACCAATGCATTCCATTGGTATTTAATCAAGATTTCTACTTTTCTAGGTAAACCGTTGATGTCTGCCAGTTCGGTATAAAATGCCGTACGGAGACGCAGTAAAGAGAATAGTTTTACGAGGATTCCCTCAGGAATCACTCTAGAACTTCACTTGTCTCTATTTTCTGAGCTTCTGAAACTAGTTGAGCCACCATCCTTTTTATCTACTGGAGAGGTTGATGAATGTGCCTATGCTTCAGGTCGATGCTAAAAAATTGAATTGTCGATCTAGATGTGGGTTTCTGCAAACCTATTTCAGTGAAACTTCGGTGACCTTACTCAGTACTCATTGTGTAACTTATGGTAGCTTCGTACTGAAAAATGAAGGGGCTTAAAAGCCATTGTGTTCCGTCCTTTAAAAACCGTGACCTAGAAAACCAGTTAGTTAGTCTGCTTGAATGACTTTGAACTCGTTTCCAGTTGGTTTCAACTAAGAATAACTCCCACGATTGATGTGTGGCTATCAATCCTGCTAGACCTGAACGCTAGCCACACTACCTACTGACTCTTCAGCCTGGCCCACCTAACCTGGTGGCCAGACTGCTCTTAACAATGCCCCAAACAACTAAAGGAGAAAATAACACTTACGGCTGATGAAAGTTGTATTTATTGACGATGATTTGCAGAGAGTGTACAAGTAGGTAATCATACCACAATGAAACTGCCGAGCTTTTATCCCTTGAAAATTATATTGATCACCATGTTTGTCTGCGCGGATAAGCAAATTGATCATTGGCGGTGAAACGGACTTCTTTGATCCCTTACAACATTACAGTTTGACGACAGTTCAATCCTTCCAGATGCTGCGTTCAGACATCGCTGCCTCTGTAGAATTATTTGCATCCTGTGGTATCATTATGTAAGTAATTCTGAGATCCAGTGGCATGTTATTGGTCACAGTGGATATCACCACCCGATAAGTGCTGTCAGCTTGAAACATCAGCTTCAGTAGCTTGGACGTGTGCCAAGAACGCCATTCCAATGGTTCTCACCCCTTCTGCTGTTTTCAATCCCTGAAACCAAGTGAAGGAAGCAGATTGGCGGTTAGTCAATAGCCGAGAATCGTGTTCAGCGATGAGCACGTTACAGTTTCTTCCTCTCCTCTCTTTTTACGAAAATAATATGAAGTGATAAATACCTCTTAAATGCTCTTGACTGGTATACTTGCCTGACTTTTTTTATCATCCCGTCTTTCTATTACCCTTCTCCATATTAATGTGTTTCACTGTTTTGTGTGTGTGCGGTGAATCTCTTGGTGTCCATATTGTATTAAGTTTTTTTTTTTTTGAATTAATGAGTAGAAATCAATTAGTTCTTGCTTTGTTCAAATTATTAAGAAATTGATTTACTCCTAGTGATGTAAGCAAATAAATTGTCTCTGGTATAATGTAGAGATGACCAAAGAAGTTCATACTTTCATATGAAAAGCTAAAGAGAAACTAGAAAGTAGATCATAAACCTAAAGGGTTTTATTCTTTTCTTAAGTCCCATAAACCAATTCTTCATAGATCTGTGTGGACAATTTAAATAACAATCAACTTGCATTGTTTATTGACTAAAACTCACAACTCTCAAAGTAAAATAGTATCTAAATGATGTATTTTGTCATATATTAAGACGTGAAATGGCTCCAATGTAGGTGCAAAAGTAGCTTATCGGTTTAAGCATTCAAGTTACAGCCAACCGCCATTCCCCTGCGACTTGAGTTCCGCCTAACCTACTGGGTAGTGTCATCTGTCTTCAGACAATAGAGGCGTCTCACAGTATGAAACATGAAAAACCTGTTCTAGTTAACTGAGTTCTGACTAGAAAACCAGTTGATCCACAACTGACTTATATTCCATACTACTTATCTTAGTGTTTCCTTGTATTAAAACCATAATAGCGAATACTGGCCTATACATGTTTGCTAGAATCTACAAATATGATTGATTTAATTTAAGACAATTTTATTGACTCAATTAGAATGGATGATATAAGGTAGTGTCTGTCTGTCTGAGTTCAACATAGAACTTGGCACCGAAATGCAGCAGTTCCAGTTGCCACGTTCCAAATAGCACACAAAGGTAGACAAAAAGATGAGTAAAGAGAATCAATAGAGGTTTGACAAGTATAAGAGTGAAACAGAATGAGTAATGGTAGAAAGGAATATGAAAGATTACAGAGACTGAATAAATCTGCGTAAGCCATTGACAACGTTTTTGAGCCATGTCACCTATTGTCTCCAGCCATTGATTCTTACAGTCCCGAGGGCGGGCCCCAACCCGGAAGTCTGCATCTCCCTACCTGACTCAGTTTAACTGTCAAGGATTTCATGGATTGAGTCCATGTTTTTGTTTGGCCACCACTTACTCTTTTCCAACCTGCACCTATATCAGTTAGTAATGCCCGTCGAGGGAGGCGATGGTTAGGCAAGTGTAGCACGTGACCTAGCCATCTCAATCTATGTAACTTTATAGCCTGGTCGATTGATTTTCCCTCTTTGCCCAACACTCTACGCTTAACGTCACATCAACATTACTTACCTTATTATACCACCTAACGTGAAAAAGAGATCGTAGACATCTATGATCGAAAAGTCAACCTTTTCATGTCTTCAACTCGTATTGGCCATGTTTCCATGGCCTTCAGAGCCATAGAGAAGGATAGTGTGCATCATTATTTCACCATAAGAATTCGATTGCAAAAAAAGAGTTAAACGTGGTCAAATTAAAATGTGACATCAATCCATGGAGTCTGATTGTCGGTTCCATCCAACTATAGAGGTGTAAACAGCCTGATTAGGGGCATTGAGATGATATAGCTCAAAATCGTTCTCAATTCCACCAATGTATTCACTCTAATGTATGCGCAAAACTTGAACACTGTGCTAGTGTGTAATTACATATCAATTTGTTTATTAGATATGTTACACAGTGAAACAGTATTTTACACTGGATAACGTTTTGAACACAGTTTATTGTTCATAATCATATCAATTATAACTACACATCTTTGAAATTTTCGTTTTATAGTTTCCTTAATTTCTTCTATTCGTCGTAGAGGTAGTAGAATTCTCCAGATGTTCGGGATAGATGTTCAATCGTTTCTATTGCACTCATTTTCAGTTGATTTGACACATCAAGCTTCAGTTATCAATTTCTCCTTCCATCCTGTTATATTAGATTTTAGAACTGTAACTGCTTATAGTGCTATAAATGAGCTATTCTCTAGATTTCTTATCTTATTCGGGTCAACTTAGATAGATTTTGCTAGTTTTTTGTGCTCTACTAGTCTGATTGACCCCGTTCTACTACTTTGACCTATGTATTTGACCTGACAATCATTGCAGGCAGGGTATTAGATAAACTAAGTTGTTTTGTTTTATTGGCTACTCAGCAGGATCCTTTAACCGACAAAGTTTGTTTCTAATTGAGTTTGTGGGCAGCTTGAATGCCACTCTTATTCCTGCCTTGTTAGGAATTCTGCGTAAGGTTTCCTAGGTTCCTTCCTTGTATGGGATTACTGCTGATAATTTAGATTCCTCATTGTTGGTGTTGTCGTCATTCTGTGCATGCTTGACATACATATCCTCATTAATATTACCATTATTATTATTATCACTATCACTACCATTATTATTTATTTTAGTTTTACATTTTCCTACATACTTCCTGACTAATTTATCAGGGTAATTATTAAGTTTCAAAGCTTCTCTTATATGTCTCACTTCCTGTCTTAGATTTTCCTTGGTACTACTTAGTTTTTGTGCTCTGTCACTTAAACATTTCACCAATCCTATTTTCACTGACATAGGATGGGATGATCGAAAGTCCAGGTATCTGTTTGAATGTGTGGGTTTCCTGTAAACACACTAGTGTGTTTAACTTCCCATCATCTTTCCTTTTTACGTTGTAATCTAACATTGGAGCTCCCCTTCTTGATTTTTCAATTCATAAGTAAGTTGAATTGCCTCCATCTTTGCGTTGATGTGTTCGAAAAACCCACTTATATCCTGTGTTTCAAGTACGAACTTGGATTTCGGCAATTCGAACTGGTGTGCACTGCTGTGCAAAGACCTATTTTGCGATTTAATCAATTAAACTGGATATTTTCGTTTAGTGGTTTGTGCACGTGTGTGTATGTTGTGACTTCGCCGACCGTATGTATGTTTAGTTTATCACAAAGATAATAGGCTGGTACTATATTTTACATACTCTCCTATTCATAACAGTTCCTGTACCTTTATGTGTGTGCATTATATGGAGTGTGTTAAGTTGAACGACACTTGTAACACTTTTGTACAAATGTCTACGCTAAAAAGAAATCTCGGTCATTCTTTTTTTATGTTTAACAACCCTAGTACAGCAGCCTTCCCTTCACATATCAGTTATAGCTTGTTTTGGTGGCGTTTTTGCGTTCAGTAAACATACTAACTGTTAACTCGTAACTGACTGATCGACTAGTTTCAACATAAAACTTTGCATACATGTGCAGCAGTTCCATTTGGCACTCTGCCTCCATGTAGCATACAAAGCAAGAAAAGAGAGTAAAGAGAGATAATAAACAAAAGTGTGAGGCAAAAAGAATAGTGGAAATATGGAAGAACAAAAGAATTTTATTGGACCTGATAAATCACAAAGAGTGAATGCATTTACGCTATTTATTGACAACAACTTTAAGCCATATTACTAATTGTCTCCAGTATTCATTGGTTCTTACCATTCCGAAGAACCCAAACAAGTAGGCAGGCAGTCTACGCCTCTCTACGTGGCTGGTTGGCTTAAACTAACTATTGTGGATTTCATTGACTGATGAAGCCACATTTTGGTTTGACTACCACCACTAGCTCTTATCCAACGTGATCCATCTTGTGTCAGCTAATACCGCCCGTTGAGGAAAACGTTGGCTAGACGTGCATGTGTAAAACATGTCCTAACCATTTCATTCGGTGCGGCTGCTTCACAACCTCTTCGACTGATTTCCCCTCCTTACCTAACACTTGACCAAAGCCTGACCTCAGTGTTACCCACCCTATTATGCCACTTAACATGAGAGATAGAACACAAACACCTGTGATCAAAGACAGCTAACTAGCCTTTTCATCCCTTCCACTTTCAATGGCCATGTCTCATTCACAGCCATGATGAAGGAGGACAGAGCGAACTTCTGAGCAGTACACATGTCCTTTGGTTGACAACCGGATATCTCGTCTATTTCAGAGAAGACGTTAGTTGGCAAATGCTAAACTAGCCTTCTGTATCCGTGCTGATATCTTGTCAACAATCAGCCCTTTAGTACTGATTGGTTTCTGGTGACCAAAACAGGTTCATACTCCATTTGGTGCTTTCGAACTGTGAAGCCCATTTGTACACCATAGGTTTGAAATCAGGTTTTCCACCTTTACTGGGTAGACTTACCTGTCGTCACCAGCCCAGTTGTAAGCGCACAACTGGATGTTCGAATTCGGTCTTTCACTTTTGTGAGGAACACCTGTCTCACGTGTGAAGGCAGTGAGAACTGGAATTACATGGTAGAAGGCATGGACACATCGCTATATGAAAGCATTTCAAGAGGAAGGTCAAAGCCTACCCACTCTCACGTGTACCAGTTAGTTTATAGGGGCTCTAACTGCTAAGATCCAATAATTAATTATTTTTATATCTTGTTGTTATTGCTTTCTCATTCACTTCTTTATACATTTAATGTATTTTCGTTTACTTTTATTTTGAAGGTGGAAATACAATTTCTTTTCTTCAAAATGCCACTGAGGAAATCCCTTCTGCATTGAAAGAATCAATTAATGCACTGTTTAAAGTTAAAGCATCTTTTATCATCACATATAAATCCATTTATCATGAATAATAAAATTATTACAGTTAAAGATGGTAAGTTAATGCATTTTTTTAGAATAGTAATGTTAGCCTTTGTATATGCGTATTTATTCTCCTTTACTGATTGCTCACAAGAGAGAGAGAGAGAGTAGCCGATGTCATGCGTGTCTAGTCGTTGGTTTTTGGTGCAGACTGAACTCTATTTCAGGATTTCATTATGAGCTGATATCAGTTAGAGAACCATTGGAAAACCTGAGAGTATTGGACAGTCAGCTGTTTCGAGTTGGTTTTGGGATTTTTCATCGGTATACACCCACCGGGATTCGAACCTAGGACGTCTAGGCAAGCTAGTAGGCTATTAAGCCACTGGGACTCGATTCAATGGCTGGCTTTGTAAGTGAAAGGTCCTGGGCTTGGACCCCAGCGGGTGCATACTGATGGTGAGTCCCAAATTAAGACGGAACAGCTGACTGTCGAGTACTCTCTGGTTCTCCAATGGTTCTCTAACTGATGCCAGCTCCTGATGAAATCCTGTAACCAATCAAATCCCTGTAAACCAATATTTGAATATGAATTCTATTCATCCAAATTGTAATGTATTCAACAGCCATATAACGATACCATATGCCAAGTAATTCACAACGGAAAGCTCATCAAAGTCTTTAAAGTGAGAACAGCAGTAAGACAAGACTTAGTCATACAGCGGACCGTGTGGAGCAAGAAGATGGACATGCGTCACACTGACAAGAAGTCTGTAGAAGCTTTGAACTTCATGAACGATTTATGTTCGATGCGCTACACAAACTTGAATATCTACAAGCGTAAACTAATAAGTTGGCAGTGTAGAGGCAGTCAGCAAAGACAAGACTTGAAGCGAATATAGAGAAAACGAAGGTGAGGAAGATACGTTTCGACCAACAACACCAGAAATCTTTAAAGAATTACTCTTTTCGGCGATATCATTCTCAAGCTGTACAAACCGCAAATTTATAGTAATTTTTCTTAGCAACAAAAGGAATATTTCCAAAGATGTGTTAATGCAATTTTTAATTTTTGACAACAAATTACGTAATTTAGAAGGCGTTAATCGGTTAGAAACTAAAATAAAGTTACAAAAGTAGGTTGGGTGACGTAATCTAATTGCTATGTCCAACCTTCCCTATTTGTCGGGCTTACAGCTAACTAAGGGAGATGAAATATGCACCGGCTGGGAGGGGATCGAACCCTGAACCACGTTCACGATTGGCTAGGATTCTACTGCTATAAATAAGCTTGCTTTTTTGATTACCATTTACGCTTGTGATCTAAACAACATGGTTTCTAAAGGAAACCACCACCAATGAGATTTCCCCCCCCACTCGAACTGTGTAGATTGATTGTAAGTTGTGAATTTGATTTAATGGTATGACCAGTTCGCCATCAACTAGCTAGCTAGCCAGAAATCAGGTTGTTTAGAACTGATTCGGCTGTATCTCTCAGCTGAATCAAACCGGATACACCGCGTCTGGTGAGGTCGACCCCAAAGGAGCGAAACGGTCGTCCGGTGTTGGCTAGTGAGCACACTACTGGTTGAGTTGTGATGAGTGGTAGGCAACTACTCAACTCAACGAATGAATCAGTAGTATATATAGTTTTATGTAAATATTTATTGCTTTAAAAAAAGTCATATCGGGAAATAAATGTCAAATCGAGGATCGGTAAGGTGAGGAACACATTCATCAACCTGAAACTAATCTGGAAATCTTCGTCACTCAGCCTGCATCAACAACAAAATTCGGATTTTCAATACAAACGTCAAGTCAGTCAGTTCTTCTATACGGATCAGAAACTTGGCGGGTTACAAAGAATATTTCCAACAGCCTGTTGCAGACCTTTATCAACAACTGTCTTCGTTCTATACTGCAGAGCACAAACAAAACAAGAACCAATCACCCAACAAATGTGCAGGAGAAAGTGGAGATGGATTGGACACTCGCTGAAGAGGCCGTTGGGTGAGGTCGCGTGTCAGGCCAATGCTCGAGTGGAACCCGAAAGGGAAGCGGCGAGTGGGACGTCCAAGGGTGACATGGAGGAGATCGTGTGAAGAGGAGCTGAAACAGAATAGATTAACATGGATGCAGGTGAAAAGTACAGCAGAAGACAGAAGCAAGTGGAGACGTGCAGTTGAAGCTCTATGTTCCACTAGGAACCCAAGGGAACAATAATAATGATAAATATCTACTAATGAATTTTCGCTTCAACTTACTGTTCTTACTTCTTGCTTCCTTGTTTATCTTATTTTTTTAGCAAGTTTAAATTTAAGTTCAATTGTTCAACTATTGAATCAAGGCGGTGTTATAGCTCTTCCAACAGATACTATCTACGGGTTAGCATGTTCTGTGTATAATACTGAAGCTATTGAAAGAATATGTCGTATAAAAGGTCGTTCTGAAACAAAACCAATGGCTATTTGTTTAGATCAGGTGAGTTGGTGTTGGAATTTTGTTCCTGTTTCCTTTTCTAACTTCCAAGAGTTTGGTTTGTAAGGATTAGATTTGTTTCTACGAGTTTGATCACGGATTGATATCAGTTAGAGAAGCTTTGAAAACCAGCTGGAGGGAGTACTAGACAGCTAGCTGTTTCATCCTAGTTTGGGAATCATTGGCAGTAGGTACCCACCATTATTAATATTATTATTATTGTTTCCTTTAATTCCTAGATGAACGTAGGGCTTCAGCCACACGTCTCCATTGCGTTGCGTTCTCTGCCAATGTTTTCACCTGGCTCCAAGTCTGCCCACACGCCTTCATCTCCTCTTCACATGACCTCCTCCAAGTCACCCTCACACTGACGACCAACTCGCCGCTTCCCTTTCGGGTTCCACTCGAGCAATGGCTTGTCTAGTGATGTCACTTGATGGTTTCCTCAGTGTATGGCCAGTCCACCTCCATTTCTTCCTGCTTATTTGTTTCACGATCGGTTCCTGCTTGATTTGCTCCCAGAGATCTCTGTTGCTGATTTTTTCTGGCTGGCCATCTGATTTTGAGTATTGAGCGAAGACAACTGTTAATGGAGGTCAGTAGTTTGTTTGAGATGCTCTTTATGACGCGCCAAGTCTCTGATCTGTAGGTATAGTAAGTAGCACTGACTTCACATTGGAGTTGAAAATCCGGATCTTATTTTCATTTCCATGCTGAGTGCTGTTGACCTCCACACAGACTTGGGAGTAATAAAAGCTTGTCTTACTTTTCCGATTCTTGCTTTGCACCAACCAATATCATCGGTGGGACATCCATTCTCACAATTGACTGGATGGACCTTGCTGGTCACGAGTTTTTTCTAGAGTTCTAGTGAGGAGTCCTGACCAGTAGGGACATCCAGTTAAGTGTGAGGATTGATGTCCCACCGATGACATTGGTTGCTGGCCACGCTAATTCACAAATTGGTATAAGTTAGAATTCATGGTTGGGCCAGGGAATCGGTCCCAGTGGCTGAATGGTATACGAGTCAGCTTGCCTTGTAACCGGAAAGTCCTTTGTTCGAAGGCCCTATGGTGGGTGCGTACTGCCGATGATACTTAAACTAGGATGAAACAGCTGACTATCCAGTACTCCCTGATTTTCTCACTCCGTTTTGGTTGAGTTCCATATTAGCAACTTACCTCCGACTACGAACCACTGTAGGGTAAGTCGAGATGTACAATATCTCTCCATAGTGGAGAGACAGCATAGGTGGCATGCTAGTCATCGGAGGGAAACACCTTACTGCTGTATCATCCTTGTTCATCAACAGTACGACTACACCCACGGACCCCCAGCGTAGTGAAAAACATCTTACACTATACTGGTAACTGCTTTTAGTCTAATCGCTATCCTAACAATCTTCCTGGCATTGTAGAACCTTCAGGAACACTAGTTCCAGTCAATGTAGCGTGTTAGGTCATTGCGATATGCAAACCCTACCACCACGTCAAGGTGTAGCAGCCATCGTCTTCCTTGACGGGAAATGTTAGCTGACATAGGATGGATCAGGTTGGAAAGGGGAAGGCTAGTGGTGGTCAAACCGAAACATGGCCTCATCAGTCAGTGAAATCCATAACAGTTAGTTTAAGCGAGTCAACCACGTATGGAGGTGTTGACTGCCAGTTTGATTGTGGTCCTTGGGATGGTAAGGATCAATGAAGACTGGAGACAGTTGATGATATGGCTGAAAATCGTTCTGGATGAATACGGCAGATGCATTCACTCATTGTGATTTATCATATCCAATAAAATTCTATCCTTCCTCCATTTTACTATTCTTCTTGCCTCACACTTCTATTTATTATCTCTGTCTTTTGAAGCTCTCCTTACTCTCTTCTCTCTCTTTGTGTGCTACATGGAGGGAGAGTGACAAGTTGGACTGCTGCACATCTGTGCAAAGTTCTATGTTGAAGCCGGTCAATCAGTCTAACTTCTTATGTTTACTTGTCATTCTTCTGAATGAATTTATGGTGTATAACTCTCCCGTGTTCCTTCATAAAGCTCGACCGATTGCTGCTACCTTGACGTCGTAGTGTTTGGGCTTGCATATCAGAATGACGCTGACTGCTCAAACTCGTGATCCCCCTGGCTGAAAGTCTATCGCCCAGAGCAGTGATCCACAGCTCTCCACGTAAATGAGGAATGAAAACATGCGTAGTACACTTTCCAATCATACCCGTAATTCCAACAATTGCTAATAAAAACCACTCACATTGTATGTATGCGTTTAAAGGTGACAAACGGTAGGAAACCTTGAGCCTAGATTTCATGCTTCTTGACTCTTGTCAGTAGGGTGTATCTGCAATCTCAAAAGAGTTGATGTCCCCCCCCTAAGACCCAAACCTACTTCGTTCAGTGCTTCAGTCGAAGCTGCGTTCCAATCTCCTAAGGGGGACATTCGTTCCTTTAACATTCCAGATACACATAGCTGACGAGTTCCAAGAGGGATGAAAACCTGGATTCAGTACGAAATAGACCGTGATAACAACCCACCTGTAGCTTGATGACCTATCTCCTTTGTAAACTTGACTGATAAAATTCAATTAGGACTAACAGAAAGTACTATTGTCAAAGGTGCGTCGGTGGCATACCGGTTAGTACGCTCGCCGACCATGCACATGGTCCGGGGTTCGATCCCCGGCCGACGCACTCCTTTACCTCGCTGAGCCAGAAATAAAGCTGGTAAAGAGGAAAGGTTAGGCATGAGGCTAGCAACCTCATCCTGTAAAATAAACACTGCTACAGAAACTTCAAGCCACTAGCTTGAAGCCCTATGTTCCACTGGGGAACGTGAAGGAAAAAAAACTATTGTCAAATATCCAGATCGAAAAAGATCCTGAACCTCTTGCGCTGATTCCAGAAGACTTATCGGTGCCTCAGAATATTCACATCGACTAACCGACGTAAGAATATCAGAAAAAGAACTGTTTATTTCTTCACCATCAACGAACTAGACCTACAAGGTTACAAAGTACAAATATATATATATATATATATATATATATATATATATATGGATAATAAACGTCAACATAAAGCACAATGATACTTCTGATCGTTTTTCTCCAGTCTTCTGCCAACCAGCGTAGGATTAGGCAATAGCCGCCATTGTTGTTTCCCGCCAAATGATGGAGATCAGTTCGAATAAACAAATCATATGTTGCTCATTCAATGTTCAACCAACATAGAGGCATGACATTAGTAGTCACTCCTTGGTAATCAGTCATTGAATGCTTTGTTTACCACCCATTTAAAATACTTTTATCTGATCTTTTTGTCTCAGGTATCAAATATCTCACATTGGTGTGATACAAAACATATTCCATGCGGTTTATTATCTGACCTGTTACCTGGTCCTGTGACTGTCTTACTTCCACGTTATGGTGGTGGTGGTGTTGGTAATGTCAACAACAAATGTCAACAAGATCCATTAAATCCCCGTTTAAATCCAACAGAGAAACGTGTCGGTGTACGTATTCCAGATTCTGGTTTTATACGTAAATTAATATCAGCTTTACATGGAGAAAGGAAACAATCGGATTCTGTTGTCAGTGACAATGGTCATGATGTTGGTCATGGCAGTGGTGGCGTCGGCGGCGGTGGTCATCCATTGGTATTAACCTCAGCCAATTTAAGTGGACAGAAATCAGCACTTCAAATTGAGGTAAGAGAAAGCGTATTACATATAATACCCTTCTTCTTGTATTTTGTTTTACATTCAGTGTTTATTGATCTGTCCTCGTTAGTTGATTCTTTATAATAAACTTCTTAAGACTAACTGACTGAATTTCAGCGCGGAAGTCTTTAGAGAAGTGTAGCAGTTAAAATCGCCATACTCCATGTGGAAAACAAGAGATGCAAAAGAATTACGATGAGCAGAAATGTACGAAAGAAAGAATAGCAACACCGAAAGACATATAAAACAAAAGTGTATACCTAATAATTGGTCATATTTTTACTAGGTCAATTAGTCAGTCCATGGTGTAATCAAAGGTTGTACTCTATGAATTATCTATTAAAAATCGTTCCTTTCCGAGGCAATTTTATAAAACTTTGAAATTCAATCAATTTCAACCAAATATCATTGATCTTGTTTGTCTTATAAGGACTACTTGTTCTTCATACCGATGCGTCATTTATTTTATCGGAATTATCAGCAATATGCCACATGAAATTCCTTCAAAGGCTGACTGGAAAGAAAAGGGTTTTACTTTCCCGTGTAAAAATGCGATATAAGTAGAAATTACAACTATTTTTCTTTTACATTGAAGCACTTAATTTCCATTGAATAAATGTAAATAAGCATGACTAAATTCTGGTTCAATGGCTGAAGCATAAATAGTCAATAAGCTTTTGTTGTAATCTAAAGGTTCCTGGGTTCGACCCCTGGCAATGGGGTTGTAACATTGATAATAAAGTTTTATTTCATACAGCATATTTAGTTCCAAAATACCTCCTATTCATACAGGATTTGCATGTAAAGTAATAATCTGTGGTATACCATTTTGTTGTAGTTGTTGTTGTTTATGAAGAGAGAGAGAACCAATGCTGTACACATTTTTTCTTCATTTCCTTTTCATTTAATCGTACTCCAAAAATATGGTTGAGATATTTGGATAACTGACACTTTCATAGTGCTAAAAACAGAACATACCTCTAGCTTCTTGACACATGTAAACTCACTAGTAGAGGGAATAAAATTCACATTTGAATCGGAAAATCAACAAGGAGAATTTGCTGTGATGTTGGATTGTAAAATGAAACGAATAGAAGAAGGTAAACTGCACACTAGCGTTTAAAAAAACCAACGCATTCTAATAGATATTTAAACTTTAATTCATCTCATCCTTTAACTGTTAAGGCAGGCTTAGTTAAGTGTTTAGCAAACCGAGCAATAGGACTAAGTAGCACAAGAAAATGGTGAAATAAAACAGATAGAAGATGCGTTGGTGTTAAATGACTAACTATCCTATAAAATTCATTGGAAAGATAAAAAAAATTCTGAAAGCAAAATAAAAATAATGGTGCAACTAGTAATAATAACATAAGTAAGAGAGAATGTAAGCCATCTACTGTTATACCATATAAGGAGGGGACCACTGAGACCCTACGTAGGATTCTTAATAAAGCAGGAATTAGGGTGGCATTCAAACCTACAAACTCACTGAGATTGGGCAAGCTCTGTAGGCTAAAAGACCCGATGGACCCAATTAAACAAAATAATGTAATTTACAAAATACCTTGCAGTGACTGTAAGTTAAGTCAACTACATAGGTCAGTCAGACTAGTAGATCAGGAGTAGTGAGATTGCCTGTCAGGACATAAGAATTTTGCTAAGGTTAGAATGATTGATCCCATGGAGATAAGTAATTTAGAAAAAAGCTCAGCAATTGCACTACATGCATTAACACACAACCACACAATAGGGTGGGAGACGGTTAAGATTCTAAGAAGTAATCTATGTAGATGGAGAGCGAGAGAGATTGATTACTGAATCCTGCCTGGTTCATCGAGTGAATGTACACCCAACACGTGCAATAGGAACGACTCAATGCAAATACCAGAAATTTGAAAGATATTATTGCCGCCAGTCAAATCAGAGGAGGATAATAATTAATCTCAAAATGCTATTTCAATTCGAACACATCACAACATTCTAACAAGTTACTTATTATGATTAAAAAACACTCGTCTTATTTCCCATCTGATTGTATTTTATTGATAACACTCATATTATTATCTCTGAATGTACTTTATCTTATATTGATTTTTATTCAAATGTTTAACCATCAATTCCACTCATGTATATAAATGAAGTAAAAAGTTGTGTGAGTAACTTGACATGATTATGAAAGGCAATAGTTTGTGCTCGAAACGTCATCAATTAATAATACTGCATAACACACTGTGTGATTTATCAAAATAAAATCTTATCCATAATGGAGTTATACTCTACCACCACAGTGCCCATGTTTTATACTTATATCATTTCCTTCAAGAATCGCATAACGTTTAGTAGGAAGCTCTAATTAAATATGCGCACGAATTCATAAGAAATACAGAAGAGTTTAAGGAGTTTTATGGATGGGAATTCTGTTAGCTCAGTGATTTAAACAGGCCGCCACTAGTTGATGACTACTGATGAAGAATCTCAAGCTAGGATAAAATATTTGTCCACTACTCCCAGCACGTTTTCAGCAGTTCTCTAACTGAAGTCAATTGGTGGGTGGTGACTGACTAGCGGTGGAATCTAAGATGCGCATTTCGTCCTATTTGGGACTCGACAGTTGCATGTACCTGCACAAGGACCTGACATGTCAACCTGAAACCGATCACTTCGGTCCAATCAATCGGCGAAAAAATCTAAAATTGAATTAAATAATTAGTACATACTTATAAAATGTATTGATTTGATCTTTGATCCACATTAAGATCGAAGGTTGATATTCAAGTGTTGGTTTGTAGGGATTTCATCATGACCTGACATCGGTTAGAGAAGGTCCTGGTGTGTACTGCCGATGAGTCCCAAACTAGGCTGATGAAACACCTGGCTGTCCAGTACTCCCTGCAGATTTTCCAATGGTTCTCTAACCGATGTCAGCTGAAATGTTGAGTTGATTCACAAGTCATTTGGCGGGAAAATGACCCATTATGTGTTACCTCCTAGTCTAACATATACTAATTAATCAATAATATTGTTCTGTGATTATTTGATTACACATGATCCTCTCATTCTTCTTTATACTTTGTCACGATGCATTAGGAATTCTCCGAGCTTTGGCCTTCAATTGATCTGATCATTAATGGTGGTCCAATACAAACATCATTAAATTCTGATTGTAATCGAGCTGGTTCAACTATTGTCGATTTATGTCAATGTGATCAATTGCTGTATTCTATCATACGAGATGGAAGGTATTCATTCACTCACTCACTCATTATCAGTATTGATTCATATGATTGATTTATTTGTATTTTTCAATTTTCAAAAGACTGAAAACACTCATTAAGTTTAAAGAAAATTCGACGAGGAACATTATTTCTATCGGCAAAGTCATCTTATGTTAGATCATTGGCGATGATCAGCAGGAAGTCTTGGACACCTAGATTTCGTGTTTTTTGGCACTCTTCAACAAGACGTATCTGCATTCTTGAGGTTCAAGCCCGTGTCACCCAATTCCGCAGTCAGAGACGTTACCACTGGGAGCTATTCGAGTTGGCGATTGACCTCCAGTAGAACTGTAAAGGATACTTTCATTAGACACCATGCAGTAGATAATATCTTGCGTCAAGTCCTTTGTTTGGTGCAAACTGAATCCCTGTCAGTGGTTTGTTATCGTGGTGCACCCTGAATTGAAGTATCAACAACACAAGTTGGGCGCATGACACTTGTTAACTTGCCTAGTATATCCATTAAGGTCCTACAAGCGTTTGTCTATTGTGAGTTCATATAGCCCTTGGTAGGAATGCCTCTGACTACAGCAGCACTGAGCGATGAAGATTTGAATCGCCGAGGGGAACATGTGAGTTCCTTCAAAGTTGGAGATCAGTTCTAATAAGCACAAAACTCTTATGTCCTACAATTCACGTGTTATGCGTTCGTCGTGATTAGACTAGACAAGGTGAGTTCTTGTTTCACTTTTGATCACTGATAGAGATGTCAATTATAGAACCCTTGAAAACCTGTAGGGAGTGAGTAGTAGACAGCTGTTTCGTCCCAGTCTGGAACTCTTCACGCTACGCACCCACTGGGGTTTGATTTCAGGACCTTTCGGTAACAAGGTGAACTCGTGAACCATTCAGCCACTGGGACGCGATTCACTGGCCGATGAATACCAATTCGGGATTAATTAGGCGCGACTGACTGCAGTCAATGTCCTCGGTGTGAGTATTTGTCTTCACTGTTGACGCTGAATGGAACCCACTGGTCACGACTTTTCCCTAAAACTCATTCCAGGAAACTAGTGAGCATGAAATTAGTTTTTTTTTCTAAAACAATTTGTATATGAATTTGATCTGTTCGAAGTTGATTACAGTTAGAGAACCATCGGAAACCTGTAGGGTGTGAGTACTAGATAATTGTTTCCTCCTTCTATGGAACTCTTAAGTCACACTGGGACTCGATCCCCATGGCCAGCCCATGAATTCCAACTTCTGCCAATTCACGATGTAATGAGACCACAAGCCACTAACCTGCTGTAGCCCACTGGTCATGACATCTCACTAGAATCCAGGTAGCTACCTGCCTGAATGCGGGAGGACAGTCGCTAGTGAGCATCAGATTAATGTTCAGGTGTAGGTGAACACCAGTTCACCCAAGCAGTTAGCTAGCCAGAAACTATGGCTACTGGGTTCGAGCCTCGGTGGCAACATCATCACTCACTGCGGAATGCAGATGACGAATCCCAAACAGGACGAAATGCGCGTCCTGGATTCCCCTACTAGTTACCACCCACCAATTAACTTCTAATTACATGCCCAAATATCGTCAAGGCATCTGCACAAGAAGCCGACAGGTCAACCTGAGACCGAGCAATTCGGTCCAATCAATTGACGGGAAAATCTAAAATTGAGTCAAATAATTAATATGACCCATTGCACAAGAGACAGTGGCTCTCGTGTCCCAAGCGGTCTAGTGGATAACGCTTTGGCGTTTGAACCTATAGGCGCTCGTTTAAGCCCCGGTGAGAATGCAGGCACATCCAGATGACAAGTACCAAGTAGGACGAAATGCGCATCCTGGATTCCACTGCTAGTCACCAATGCACCAATCAACTTCTAGAAACCGAAGTGGTTTAAATACTTACTGGGCTCTCTGAACTGAGTCAAAATGGATATAGCTCCTCTGATGAGTTCAGCCCCAAATCACCGAAATGGTCGTCCAATGTCTCGACCGCTTTGATAATCGGGCTGACTGGCTAGCAACCGACACTACTGCTTGATAACGTGGATAGTTCCCGAGTACTACTCGGCTCAAGTAATCAGTAGTGTATAGTTTTATGCATATATTATTGGAAGAATGTTTCTGTAATATAATAAAAGAACACGAATGAGGATTTTTGCGACTTGAAGACTATTATTTGTAACTCTGAGATGTATGTCTTCTTGTCACTGAAGTGATGTATTTCCGTAGGATTTCTTTGAAGAAGCGCTTACCGCCGATAGCCTTCAACCATTGAACGCATCAATCATTATATTCTTTAAATTTAGTTTTACAATGTCGTTTTTTAAAAAAATTTTTCATTATTATTTTTGTCTGTTCTTTTTCAGTGCTCTTGATTCTACAGTCGACATACTGGAAGGTCGTTATCATTTGACAAGAACAAATTCTTGATTCCTGAATATCAGCTCTTCATCACATGAAAACTGATATTTCTTTGTAAATTTTCTTTCTATATATATTTGTGTAAAGTGTATGATAATGATGATTTTTGTACAGTTCTTGTCGTAAATGCTGGAAAAAAACCAAAATGAAACATTGTGAGTGTATGAGGTGTTTTTTTCTTGTTTTAATCAAAAGTCATTGTTTTAATGCATACTTTTTTCCGCGGGATTTTTGAAAATATATAGGCAACACGTCATTGTTCACTCTCCCTCGGACGAATGAGTCTGTTTACTGCACCAATTCATTCACCAGTTGTATATTTTGGAAATTATATTGGAAGGAATCTCTCCTATCCTCAGCTGTTCAAGGAATATAGGAAAGTGAACATAATCCTATTTTTTCAACTAACCGTAGTTTCTCCACTGTAGATGTTACGTCAACTGAGGTGTTGAATATTCTTAGGACGATTGAGGATAGAAGAGATTCCTTCCTGTATAATTTCTAAAGTATACAACCAGTGAATGAACTCGCCGGACACACAGACTCACTCACACGAGGGAGAGTGAGAAAACAAAGTGTGAGCAATTACGTGTTGCGTATGTTTTTAAATCCCGCGGCAAAAATTCTGTATTAAAACAACAAGAAAATACCTCATATGCTCACAATGTTTCATTTTGTTTTGTTTTTTACATTTACAATAAGTACTGTACAGAGATCATCTTTATTCCAAACTCTGTATTTCTCCTTCTTCCTGTTGCTTTGATACATCACTAAGTGTCAATTTCTTTAGTCACTTGTGCTGGTGTGACTATCTTAATTTTCCGAGTTTATTTATTGACATATTCACTCAGGGATTGTTTTATGTATGTATGATTTATGCTAATAAATGACGTGTGTACAGTTACTCTTTATGATTGAGTTCTTTGTATGTCACATCTAAACTTTGCATCAATCGATAAAAGGCTTTGACTGTTGTTGTTTTGAATGAGCCACTTATGCAGGTGTAGACTGTCTGGTTGGGGCAAGCAAGTCAGTTAGTTGAGGAAGTTGTAAAGCTATATCGATTGATTCAAATGAACTGTCGTCAAGATTTGACAGAATAGTTTCAGAAAGAAGACAAATCAATAAGTCCGACAGGGTGCTTCTACTAAACTCTAATCCTAAACACCACAATTTTGAAAATACGTCTAATCGTTAAAATTCTAGATACTAACAGTTTGAACAGACATGAAGATGTGATCTTGTTAGCTGATGCATAGTAAATCCTTATTAATAAATAAAAATGGATATGTATCACTTATTATTGATATTTGGTCAAAATTATCGACTGTCCATATCTTCTTATGGAGACGTTAAGAAATGTTTTACAACTGTTTACACACATACACACTCTGTCTAAAGTGTTTAACAAAGGTAGACCAATATTTGTAAGTCCAGGGTCAAATTTTGATCACAGTTCATAAAATTTTGTTTACTATACTTGTTGATACTTTTTGAATGACTCATGATTGGACAAATGTTCAAAAACAAGTGATGTTCCTTTTTATATATAAACCTATGTTATGTTGATTTCGATTAATTTCCCTAAAGATTGCCGAACGAAACGTTGGAATTACTCATTTCAATATCGCTGAGATTTTACAAATAAAATTTTTCACATATATCGATTGAAATAAATGGTAGAGACACGTGTGTTATGCATGCTCAGTCATTCCCCTTTCTCATCGAACAATCACTAATAGAGAAATCATTGAAAACTCCCCTAGGGAGCAGTTGTCAGTCATGGGCACCTATGACTCCATCAGCCAAGCTCGTAGGCTGACTATTCAGCTAATTGCTCTGGAATCAAATGATTCCTGAATTCTGTCTAAATTTGCCACCACGTTTAGGTCTCTAGGTGGCATGGGATGCTCATCGTAGGCACTGGGTTGATGTATTATTATTGTATCCTTTAATTCCTAGAGGAACATAGGCCTTCAGCCGTGCGTCTCCATTGCGTTCCGTCCTCTGCTAGAGTCTTCACCTGGCTCCATGTCTGCCCACATGATTTCATCTCCTCTTCACATGACCTCCCCCATGTCACCCTTGCACTGACGACCAACTCGCCGCTTCCCTTTCAGGTTCCACTCGAAGGCCTGTCTAGTGTGTCACTTGACGCTTTCCTCAGAGTATGGCCAATCCATCTCCATTTCTTCCTGCCTATTTGTTTGACAATCGGTTCCTGCTGAGTTGGTTCGCTCCCAGAGATCCCTGTTGCTGATCTTTTCTCGCCGGCCATCTGATTTAGAGCAGCATTGAGCGAAGACAACTGTTAATGAAGGTTTGTAGTTTGTTTGAGATGCTCTTTATGACGCGCCAGGTCTCTGATCCGTATAGTAGCACTGACTGACTTCACATTGGAGTTGAAAATCCGGATCTCATTTTCATTTCATGCTGAGTGTTGTTGACCTCCACACAGACTTGAGAGTAGTGAAAGCTTGTCTTGCTTTTCCGATTTTTGCTTTGATATCCTCGTCAGTTCCGTCCGCCTGTAGTTGAAACGATGCTTCCCAGGTAGGTAAAAGAGGTTGTTGAGGGTAACGCTATGCCACGAACTGACAGAAATTGGAATTTAGGAGTCATTGGATTACTGCCCTAATGTTTGGATGACCAATGAGCTTTGTCTCGTAACGTGAAAGTTCTGAGTTCGACCCCTGGTGGGGTCATATATGTCCACGGTTGATGAGTCCTACAATAGGACAAGACAACTGCCCAGTTCTCTCTGGGGTTTCTTTTAATGATTTTCTCTAAATGACGTTGGTGGTTCGTGACGAAAATCCAGCGATTGTAACTCGTAGATTGGCTTGGTAAATGGGCTAGGAGTGTTCAAACCACAGAAAAAGAACAACATCAATCCATGGAATCTTCGGCTATTGGTTTTGAATCAGCCACCTTTGTAGATCGTAAGGAAAAGACGTAGACAGCGAAGAAAATTTTCTTTTCTACGATTCATTTTCATAAGCTGTACATTTGTAAGACGCATCAGATACTGGTAAAATTTGATCTAGAAAATATATTACACAATGTAAGGTGTGATCTAGAAGGTGGATGACTATTTTCAAATGAGGAAGAAGTTAACATGACGTAATAAATGTGATAAAATGACTAATCAATATCGTTGTGTAGAGTGGACAAGAACTAGTGGAAAGACGATAAATTGTTTTTATAAAATCTGTATGAAAACCCAATGTTATTAAGAAACAGCAGTAGGGTGATAATAAAATATGGATGATGAGAATAATGCAGAGTTTTCTGAACACCTTGAGCTGCAATCTAAGAATGTTTGGCATGCGATTCGCTCCCGCCAAATGTAAGATGATGTTACAGCAGTGGACTACACCGACTCCTAGATTAGAAATAGGAAGTGAAGTGGTAGAGCATGTTGACCGCTTCACTTACTTGGGAAGTTGCATCAGCCAACGCCAACGGGTTGATCTCTGACGAAACCTCAGCACGGATACAGAGGGCTAGTTTCGCATATGCCAGTTTACGCCGTCTCTGGCTTAGTAGACGTCATATCCGTCTGACTATCGACTAAAGGGCCTGTGTACTGCTCATCAGTCCGCTCCGTCCTCCTTTATGGCTGTGAGACCTGGCCATTGAGAGCAGAAGACATGAAAATATTATCTGTGTTCTATCATAGGTGTCTGCGTTCTATCTCTCATGCAAGATGGTGGTATAATAGGGTGATCAATATTGAGGTTAGGCATCGGTCGAGTGCTAGGTAAGGAGGGGAAATCAAAAGACGAGTCTGTGGAGCTGCATCGACTGACATGGTTAGGACATGTGCTACGCATGCCTAGTCATCGCCTTCCTCGACATCGGGCAATGTTAGCTGATATAGGGTCAGGCTGGAAATGAGCTAACGGCGATCAAACCAAAACATGTCACCAGTCAATGAAATCTACAACAGTTGGTCTAAGCCACGTAGGAATGTGTAAACAACCTGACTGGTTGGGGTCCTCGGGACGGTAAAAACCAATGAAGGCTGGAGACAATCGGTGACATGGCTCAGAATCCTTCTCAATGATGCAGGCAGATGCATCCACTCCTTGTGACTTATGATTTCCAGTTAAACTGTTTTGTTCTTCGTTATTACTATTCCTTTCGTCTCATATCCCTGTTTACTGTCTCTAATATGCATTTCTTCTCTTGCTTTGTGTGCTACAAGGTGGGAGTGTGGCGACTTGAGCTGCCGCACATATATGCAAAGTTCTATGTTGAAAACAGACAGATGAGAATAATAAAAGTAAACTCACATAATAAAATGAAGTAAAATTATAGTATAAACGTTATTCTGGCCACGGTAGTGCGACTGAATGTATGTAGTAATTTTGAATGCAAAGGTTCGGTTTCAGATCCCGAATAACCAATGATTCAGCTATGTATAGATAGCATATTCAGTGTTCTCTCGTACGATATATGGGGACTTTGTGTAACACTGCGAAGCATTCATGTGGAGGTGCTCGATGTCCAGAGCTGACAAAGTACTCTAGGCTGCAACTACTAGTTATCTTCTTCTCTCCTCTGGCTAGCTAGCCAAGTTGGACAGTGTTTCAGAACACATTTGCGAACTTGACGTTGCTTACGACCGATATACTTTGCTCCACACGAGCAAGTAAATTGATAAATACACATTGTGGTGGCCAAAAACGGTATCTTATCCTTAACGTTAGACCGGATCAACTGTCTCCTGGAGAATGTCTTCTTCAGACATTGAGAAAGGCAGTTTTTTGTAAGGATCTCTGCCTCGTTGTCACCTTTGAATTCCAGGTTCATGAAGATAGTTTTCTTTGAAACAGTTGTGATTTTTGGAGATGGAGGTTTTTCCTTCATGTTTTTGTCGATAAATCTCGGTAGATATCGTAATGAATTTAATTCATTCTCTATCTTGTCTTCCGAATAGATTTTTTGAATCCTTAAGCACATAACGTAGCCACTAGGTTTTGCTATCGGATGAGTAAGTATTATCAAGAATAAATGATTTGAAACTTCTGGTGATATTGTTTTCATATATTATTCACTCTTTACGAACGCTCAGCTCCATTAAATCGTCATTTCTGTCTATGTGAGTATACGGAATTCAACAACTTGGACGGCGTAAATACTTCCATGCGAAGTTCTATATTGAAACTCGGTCAGTCGGTTTATTATTAATATACCTGACGTTTCAAATGTTTGTTTTCAAGGATTTGATTGATTTTAGTTAAGAAAGAGAAAAAGAATCTTTGAATACCGGTGAGTAGGAGACAGTTGTTTTTAGTCCTAGTTTTGAACTCTTCACCCCAGCAGTACGTATCTGTGGCCCCATCACTGGGGATCAAACCGAGAAAACTCAGGTTTCGGGGTTGAGCCTGTTGATAGTTAAGGTGTGGTGACAGCTGTCTGCAAACCAAAACTGTAGACAACAATTTACGTCAATGTTAACTTCCCGAATCAGGGTCATGAGAAGAAATACAATAACAAAGCTTAACCTTGAGAAAGTCATCAACCAATCACAGCGGAGTTAAAGTGTGGAAATATGATTCGCAGGTACATATGTGGTGAGAGCTGTCTACTAGCCAAATTGGTAGACAGTAATTTACGTCAATATTTACGTTCCCAAGATTAGTCGTGAGAAAATGTGAACAAAGATTGATTGAAAACCGACCACAGCAGACTTTGCGTAGGCGGATGCAGTTAACATATAGAGGATTTGACATTCAAGAAACAGTCACAAATAGATGAAAGATTAACTTTACGTGAGAAACAACCAATCGGAAGACTGTGTTTGTTTGCTTAAATAACCATAGTAATGCACATGAAAATATATAAATATGCGTTGATTTCCTTAATAAATGATCTGTTGCCTGACTCTTGCCTTCT